TTAGCTGACGTTAACGATCTCGAAAAAATTGAAAATTTAAAACAGTTTTGTGAAAACCCGTTTCAAAAATGCAGTTCGGAATATCTACTCATAAAAAACTTAAGAATCGCGAAATGTGGCAAGATCCAGACATAATAACGATAAATAACACAATTCAACCAAAAAGAAAAAAAATATGTTCGGCCTTACCTCAAAACTTAGTGAGTGATATTACCTATAAAATTTAATCTAAAGAAATACTTTGAGCTTCCCAATGTGCTAGACGATTTTTGGTCAAAGCTAAATATTTTAAAAAACGAATCAACCTACACCAACTTTGTAAATGGAAATATTTGGAAAAGGAGATTCAATGAAAATGATTGCAATTCCTTTAGATTTCCCTTGTTTTTGTATTTCGATGATTTCGAGACAAATAACCCATTAGGAAGCCATTCAATTCCGCTTCTAGGTTGTTATTTCTCATTACCAACAGCTCCAGTACATTTGAAATTTTCATTGCTGCGTTATTCGAAACCAAAATAGTCATGTTATTTTTCAAATTAATTAAAATTTTGAATGATCTTCATGCAAATGGCATTAATATAACAACCACAAACGGAAATACTCAAATATATTTCAGTTTGGGTCTTATAATTGGAGACAATTTCGGTCTGAATTCTGTTCTCGGTTTTTCAAGATCGTTTGCTAGCAAGTACTTTTGCAGGTTCTGCAAGATGTCAAAAGAGGAGACTCAACATTCTTTCATTGTGAAACCTTCAGATTTGAGTACGAAAGGTAACTATACAGAAGATACCAGGGAATGTAATGTGGCAGTGTCTGGCGTTCATGAGAACTCCATATTTAATAGAATTACAAATTTCTCAGTAATTGATAATTACTCTGTAGACATTCTATATGATATTTTTGAGGGAATACTTCTTTATTTTATTAACGAAAAAGTTTTTGACTTACCCTTTTTAATATGCGCAAAAAAATGTTCAACTATGAAACGGAAATAGGAAATATATGCCGAGATATAAGCTTCAATCACCTAAAAAAGTACAAATTAAAAATGTAGGCTCGAGAAATGCTGATATTCGTTCATTACTTTCCTTAAATAATTGGCGATAAAATTGCTAAAAATAGTATAGTTTGGAGTTTTTTTTTTAAATTTATCAAAGCTTGTTGATTTGTTGTGTTTGCAGACAAATTACTGAATTACACCATCAAAAAACATAGTTTCAGCAAAACCTGTTGCAAATTTAAAAGCTCAATTTTCTACACTAAGTTTAAATTAAGCTACCCTAACACCATTTTTATAAATGCAAAAAGCTATTTATATGTGAAAAAATGGATTCTGTTATAAACGCGACTACATTATTTTTTTTAATGAAACCAATTTCACTGCGTATGTCTTAAAAGATATTATATCGTACGATGATCAAGTTGTTTTCTTCTGCCAAGAGCTACACAGAGAAAAAAAAATACCAAAACTGTTCATCATTCGGGTATTTTTATACCCTTGCAGAGGGTATTATGATTTCAGTCAGAAGTTTGCAACGCAGTGAAGGAGACGTTTCCGACCCCATAAAGTATATATATTCTTGATCAGCATCACAAGACGAGTCGATCTAGCCATGTCCGTCTGTCCGTCTGTCCGTCTGTCCGTCCGTCTGTCCGTCTGTCCGTCTGTCTGTTTCTACGCAAACTAGTCTCTCAGTTTTTGAGCTATCGGGATGAAACTTTCCCAAAAGTCTTCTTTCTATTGCAGGTAGTATATATGTCGGAGCCGACCGGATCGGACAACTATATCTTATAGCTCCCATAGGAACAATCGGAAAAAAAAAACTTTAAAAAATTCTAGCTTCGGTGTTTTTTGAAATATTACCTTCTACTTTTGGGGATGTTATTTTTTAAATATATCTGAATTTCGAATTAATTATTTAAAAAATCGGACTACTATATCATATAGCTGCCATAGGAACGATCGGAAAATTAATGGAAAAGTAATAGGAAATAAATTCTAGCTTCTTTGGTTTTTATTGTATTATCTTCTACTCTAGAATATGACTCTTTTTAAATATTTCCGAATTTCAATTTTAATTTAATCAAAATCGGACGACTATATCATATAGCTGCCATAGGAACGATCGGAAAATTAATGGAAAAGTAATAGGAAATAAATTCTAGCTTCTTTGGTTTTTATTGTATTATCTTCTACACTAGGATATGACTCTTTTTAAATATTTTCGAATTTCAATTTTAATTTGATCAAAATCGGACGACTATATCATATAGCTGCCATAGGAACGATCGGAAAATTAATGAGAAATATTAGAAAATTGAACATTTTTGCGATTTGTTTATTAATAGGAATGATCTGCAAGGGTATATAAGCTTCGGCTGGCCGAAGCTAGCTTCCTTTCTTGTTTCATATCAATTTCGGCCTATATGAGGCCATACCAAAATTATAGTTTCGAACATACCAAATTGGTATTTTCGAACATATTAATAAGGTATTTTTCATTCAAGATTGTTATGCGCTCATATAAAATTTTGTTACAAAATGTTGTATTGTATTTTCTCTAATGCCCTCTGCTCATTATGGACGCGTCGCGTTTGCATCCATTTACCGTTTAACGCGCCCAAATTCCATACAAAACTTGTAGGCGAGGGGTGAGGAGGGGAGGGTGGAAATTTGTCGCGTTACAGGGCTGGAAAGTGAAATTTGTGGTATATTTAAGCAGTATTAACCAGGCATGAACATTTTTCTGGACCCGAAACTGATAAGAGGCTGATAAGAAGCGGGAAATATTAAAACCATTTATTGTTGATATTTACATGAACTTTATTTCGTATAGATTGGTGTTTGATATACAGTGAGTCACATTAATATTCGGTTTTTTTTTTTGTCAACTTCAAACGTGAATAAAAAGTTTGAAACTAATAAAACAAAAAATCAAATAATGCAGAAATAAAGCTTATTTTATTACCTTTTCATAGATATATATATGTTATTACTTTTTTTTAAATTTAACTGAGAAACATGCATAAACAAAAGAAAAGCCGAATATTGGGGCCACATTAATATTCGGTTTTCCCTTTTTGTACTAAAAATCAAAAAAATTATTTAGGAAATAAACTAAATTTGACATTTGAAATGTTAGCCATTATTGTCTATGGTATCGTTTAAATATTTTGGCATACTTAAAAATTTTTTTTTTGCCTATTCTGGGCCAGTTTTTCAACCTAAAAAAAGGATGTACGGGATAATGTCAAAAAAGTTTGCAAAGGTACAACAAATTCTCGATTTTTTTTTTTTAATTTTTGGTTAAACCCTTAGCCTTTAACTAGAAATCAGTTTCAGCGCAATCCATTAATCACACCAAAAAAAATGAATGGGTACAAAAGCAGAGCAGCATATAAAGCGTTATAATACCATTGTATACCAGAAATACAACAAAAATACAACTTTACAGCCATACTATTTTTTCGAAGACTTTTCGATGCCCCATTTGATATGAAAAACATATCAATCTTTGAAGTATTCATATTAATATGTTACGGATTCATATCAACATGGGTAATTGTTATGATTTCGTATCATATTGGTATGAATTCGTATTACATTTATATGGAAAAATTGATATGTACAAATTGAGGAGACAATATCAATCTGGTATTGTTCCGTTTTTTTTCTCTGTGTACAAACTGAATATGTTGAACATTATTAAAAGTTATAAGATAAATAGTTATAACAACTTTACACTTATTGATATGAAATGTGTAACAAATCCTCCTGTTCATATTAATTTTAACCAATCCCATGAATTTATAAAGCCTAAGCTATTTTAATGTTATTATACCAGTTACTCGTAGAGTAAAAGGGTATATTGTATTCGTGCAAAAGTATGTAACAGCTAGAAGGAAGCAATTCCGACCATATAAAGTATATATATTCTTGATTAGGGTCACTAGCCGAGTCGATATAGCCATGTCCGTCTCCGACTATAAAAGCTAGAAGATTGACATTTTGCATGCAGATTCTAGAATGCAGTTTTATTGTGTTTATCAATACCTATCAAAATGTAGAAGACATTTTTTAAATCGGACCATTTGTTAAAAAGTTACGGCGGATCAAAGTTTTTATCTCCATCTCCTTCGCACTCCCTGTAGCTGAGTAACGGGTATCTGATAGTCGGGGCACCCGACTATAGCGTTCTCTCTTGTTATACCCGTTACTCGTATAGTAAAAGGATATATTAGATTCGTGCAAAAGTATGTAACAGCTAGAAGGAAGCGTTTCCGACCCCATAAAGTATATATATTCTTGATCAGGGTCACTATCCGAGTCGATCTAGCCATGTCCGTCTGTCCGTCTGTATGAACGCTGAGATCTCGGAAACTACAAGAGCTAGAAGGTTGAAATTTTCCACACATATTCTTGGGCCTCCTAGGCAGCGCAAGTTTATTTCAGCCGAGCGCCACGCCCCCTCTAACGCCCACAATCGCCCACTAACGATTTTTAAATGTGTCCTGCGCCCACATCTTTAAAGATTTCCGAGAAGTATAAATGCAATTTTGTTGTGTATATTTATACCTATCGAAATGTAGAAGAAATTTTTCAAATCGGACCATTCATTAAAAAGTTATACGCAATCAAAATATCGGAAACTATCGGAAACTATCTCCCTCGCACTCCCTTTAGCTGAGCTACGATTATAGTCGGGACACCAACCCGACTATAGCGTTCTCTCTTGTTTTTTTTAGTTTGGTTAACTGGGTGACAGGTGACAGTTGAGGCACTTGACTATAGCACTCTCTCGTGTTTTTATACCAAACGTTGATGCTTAAACCCAAATATATTTATATATCTTATTAAATCAACCTTCGATTTAAAGATGGCCCCAAACCAGCACCCTTGAAAAACGTAATATTTTGTTGCATTTAAATTTAATTTGGGCAACTGCTTTACATTAAAATGTACATTATAATTTATAAACTATGAATATTAAAGCAATTTATAAAGTAAGATAGCGCAGGGCCTTGTCCAGAAAAGTCTGTTCCGGCGAACTTTTGCGACTGTTAGTAAGCCGTCTGTTCTGGTCACGAGTGGCCTCGCTTTCTGCGGGACCGCAAAACTCCAGATGTTCGGTGTAGGGGGTTTTGGGGTATTCTCTCTTCAACACCATATTAATGATCCGAGATCTTGTAGAGGTATGCTTGGATTGCGTTATTACCACGGAGCGCGGACGTACGAAGGCCCCGATGTGTAAGCCGCTGACTTCAGATTCAGCGGAGTCTGAATCCTGACTCGAAATGCCGACGCAGCTACAATAGGAGACACTGCTGCGCGCTGAATGGGAGACACTTCCGTAAGCCTCGTCGTCGTAGGTACAGTATTCGGGCATACAAGGAGCCCGGGCTTCTGACACCGCATAGGGAATACACTTCGCCTCCAGGTACAAGAGAGGCTCGTCAGCGGCCTCATCGGCACTGGGAGTTGGACTGGCGCAGCGTTCGTCCTTCAGCTCGTTCATACGCGCCTGCTGCAGCTTTTGCTCACGTCGGTGCTGTCGACGCTCGTCCCTCTCTTTTTCAAGGCGAGAGATGGTTTCCAAACTGTCGACGAACAAGTTCAGATCGCGCTGCCTAAAGTGGGCTGCGTTCAGAGTGAATTTGGTGGATATTGACGGCAGGTCTTTCGCGTATGCGTCCAGGATCTGGGTGCAAGTGTATGCTGGCATCTTGATATGTTCGAGAAACTGAACTGAGGAACACGTCTTTTAGCTATGGTGGCAGCTCGACAACTGTAGCTTGTGGTTCCCCTTCGGGTCTTATTATACGCAACAGGTAGGCACGTAATTTTTTTATTGCGGGCTTGGGGCATTTCATACCTGAAATGACCAATAAACTAACCATATGTTCCATAGGTAGTCAATAACGGAACGCAAATGTAATCCGGGAATTTTTTAATATGTGTTTCTCATTTCAGGTTTTCCCTAATCCTCAAAGCTCAAATTGACCTGTAAGGAAACCTATCCAATCCGCCTATGTAACCTGACCCAATATCTGTAAAGGCTCATTCCATGTGAAACAAGACAGGCAAAAATATAATATTGCAAATATTTTTAAAACAAGCCTTTTTTAAGAGAATTTACAATTTAAAAAAATATGTACGCAGGAATGCACACAGTTTCCGAACACAAAAATTATCCTTATATTGCTTCATCAATTCTTCAGAAAGTGAGCTGAACAGCTCAATTCTGTGCGTTAACATCACTGTGTAATTGTTTCTCGTTTAGATAAATTAAAGCATTCGAGAAAACCGATTTACTTTTACGAACAGCTTATCTGGTCTTCAAGTTTTTTGGACAGATAGCTATCAGGGACTTTGACAGGGACTCAAGAAACCGGCCCTAAATGCTTGTATAATACCTATCATATTGGTGATGCTGCGGTGCTTATCTCGAAAGACAGCAGTCTTTTTAAAAAAGTGAAAGCCAAGAGTGGTCTCTTCCTTTATGAAAAAAGGCATATCGAAATTTCATAAGGCATAAGGAAATTGTTGCACTTTCGCCACACCTTTATATATTTCATAAACGCAAAGCGGCCAAATTCCTGTGTTAACAATAAAGATTTGAAAAGGATGAACATCGTTGCCTTCATTCCCAGGAATTTTGTTGAATCGGAGTTCATACCGGTCTTTCCGATCAGAAAATTTTGGATGTTTTTTCGCCGGTTAAGATAAACTTTGTCGATCGTTTGTTCAGGCGTGAGAAAGCTTTTAATGATGCAACATTTAAAATTACTTCGATGGATGCTATATTTTTACGTTACGAAAAATCCGAACCTTTTCGCACGGATGGACTCTATGGGAAGAGGCTGCAATTGAAGTTTTCGTACGCAGAACCTCTTAAATTTTGCCCCACTTATAGCAACCTGTTTGCAAACGCTTTTCTGCTAGAGGTGGGAACATCCATGTTTTTCGATGGTTTTGATTAATCGATTTTCACATCGATTTTTTCTCCACCTCTATTTTCCGCCCATAACAAACTACAAACAAGAGAGAACGCTATAGTCGGGTTCGTGTCCCGACTATCTAATACCCGTCACTCACTAGTCGGGTTGGTGTCCCGACTAATAATCGTAACTCAGCTAATGGGAGTGCGAGGGAGATAGATATAGAAATTTTGATTGCGTATAACTTTTTAATGAATGGTCCGATTTGAAAAATGTCTTCTACATTTCGATAGGTATAAATATGCACAACAAAATTGCATTTATACTTCTCGGAAATCTTAAAAGGTGTGGGCGCCAGACACATTTTAAAATCGTTAGTGGGCGATTGTGGGCGTTAGAGGGGGCGTGGCACTCGGCTAAAATAAACTTGCGCTGCGTAGGAAGCCCAAGAATATGCGTGGAAAATCTCAACCTTCTAGCTTTTGTAGTTTCCGAGATCTCAGCGTTCATACAGACAGACAGACGGACAGATGGACAGACGGACAGACGGACAGACGGACAGACGGACAGACGGCATGGCTAGATCGACTCGGCTAGTGATCCTGATCAAGAATATATATAGTTTATAGGGTCGGAAACGCTTCCTTCTACCTGTTACATACTTTTGCACGAATCTAATATACCCTTTTACTCTACGAGTAACGGGTATAATAATTTTCATACATTTAGGGTGTTCAATTGCGTTGCAAACGTTGTAAAGTGTAAAAGTGTAAGGCAGTTCCAACAACAATTTCTATACAAAAAATTTTTCAAAAGTAGGCCTTTAAAACTATTTTGTATAGAAATTGTTGTTGGAATTGATATACACTTTTACACTTTACAAAGTTTGCAACGCAATTGAACACCCTAATTAAAAATATCAGGCTACTATAGATGAAAAAAAATGACAAAAAGTACTTCAGTAAAATCCATTGTAGCTAAAGAAGAAGAGGTCGCCCATTTTTGTGATTGGACAATCTTGAAGTTAAAGGTTCAAAGTACCTTTTTCGCTAAATTGTGGCTCTGGGCTACGAAGGGTTTTCTTACTATTAAGTCGCAAAAAGTGCCTAAAAATCGAAAATTTGGAACTTTGACCACGGATTTTTCAAAACTTCGACGTGTTGGAAAGTTTCCAACTATGAGGTAGTTCTCTACAGCTAAAATCCTTTCAGGTTTGGTAGCTTTTATTCTTGGGCTTTTTTTTGTCGACCAGTGTTATTTAAAAGTTTATATTAAAGAATTCTCTTCACAGCACCGAGTTTCTCCTGTATTTGTGGGAGGAGAACATGGACGGACTTCAAGGTGTTCGGAGGAACACCCACATATAATAATTGGTTGCATCCTTGCCTCTCGGCCGTATTTCGATATGAAAACCATCTAAAAAGAAATAAACAATCATTAAATTGCATGAAATAATTATATAGACCTTACCCATAGCTCCAAAACATTGTGGGAATCCTAGTTTCTCAGATCCTTCCCCACATTCTTGAACCTTCTCTTTGGTCAAAAAGTTTGGGGACAAGAATTCGTAAGCCATTACTGATATGACTTCGACACAGAATTCGTTGACTATTTTGCCATGGTGCTTGATATCCCGAATAATCTGCCAATAGTTCTGTATTCCGAGAATGACCCAAGCGTCTAGAGAGCAACATCAATCCGTTTATCCAATGAAATGGCTCGTCAAAAGACTGTGTCTTTTTTGCGAGGCCTGGCAGCAGCTCGACCAACTTCTGAAATAGTTTCCTGTCTACGCGGAAGGATTCCTTAAAGAACTCGTCTGAATTTGGCTGTACGTCAGTCTCCCAAAAGGTCCCATTTCGATTTTAGGCATACATATGTAAATAAATGGTAATTTAACAATAATAATACTTGTTTGTTTTCCAGCTTAAGTATGTCCAAACTCTCCTTGACGATATTTCTTTTAGCAGCAAAGCGTGGGATGTGGTGCTTGCTTCCAGCATTTGGGCAATTTGTCCACACATTTTTATTGTGTGCAAATGCTGTTCTGAGATTGTATTTATCAATAACAAATTATTTAAATCTATTGTTTACTTCAGCTCGCAAATGACAATAGCAGAACAGATGTTTTCAGACGCGTTTGCCATTGGAAACACCTCACGTCCGCCTATCGCGTTGCCAATCAAAAATACTGAAAAAACGCATAGTGAAAAAATGCCTTAATTAAAAAAAAAACCCAAACAACAATGAGCTGAAGCAGTATTTAATTTCTTCCCGCCATCGATTTGATTTGTTCTCGCAGTCATCGTTCCAATTTTCACAGTCAAGAGGAAGAATTCAGAGTTGCACCGAGAAAACATCGACTAACGATCTCATAAAAGAGCCCGTCAAAGTCCGTCAAATTTTGACGGGGAACTAACTGGGAAATTTTCGGAACGGCAAAACCTTACGGACCATCCGTTCAACGGATGGTGGATGGATCTCTGTGGGAAGACCCTATTACCCGTTGCGCTGTTGTTGCGTCTTGCAAATACAAAACTTTTATTTCACAACTTTGTGAAGAATTGATGAAGCAATATGAGGATACTTTTCGTGTTCGGAAAACATGTTTAACTTAAAAATATTTTCGGTAATAGTCTAGAAGAGGGGCCTGGGCCCCAAAAATCGCGAAAAAATTACCCTCGATGGGCCGCGATTTCTTAGGAATTTACGTGCAAAACCGTGAAAAACGTTACAATAGATAATCCTCCTTGGACCGCGATTTCTTCAGATTCACCTAAAGGATATGTATGCCTTGGTCATCCATGGTCACTCCAGTTCTTAAGGTATCACTGCCCACCGAGGATATTTAATTCGCTGTTGTGGGTCTGGCCTGCTATAAAAATAATTTCACATTTTTGTCGAATTTTATTATTTTGACAACAAACGAAAAGCCCATATGGGCAATTCTCTGGGGATGTCAACCAAGCCAAAAAGCGTAAAACTTGAAAAAAACATATTTCTACATGATTTTGCACTGATATTTGATTTTAGTTAGATGGATCCTCAACTAAGCTAAGTAATATGAGTATCCTTGGATAATTTTACAGGGTAATACCGGTTATATGGACACAAAAGTCATTTTTTGGTATTTTTTTAGTATTTTTTAAAGTGGCTCTTAAACGGTTTTTTTGACGTTAAAGTTGCAGAAAAACCACCTAAGAAAATGACGGAAAAAACTGTCGCGTGCGACATGTAGCGTGTGACAGTCACTTCGATACTAATAAAAAATTAACCACTCAATATTTTGAATTCAAACCAAATACATTTTAAAGAAGAAAGACCAAGGAACACTATGAAATTAACTGCATTAAAATATTCCTTCACGTTTCGTTACAATCGAAAGTTAGGCAGGAAGTCAAAAAAGTAACTTCTATTCGTATCGCGTGCAAAAGTCTTGGTTTTTTTTATATATCTTAAAAATGAAAAATGTCCCAATGTCACCCCTAGCACATATTTTAGTGCTAATCAAGACCTTTAATTTGAGCCTAGTACCAAAGGAAAAGAAGTACTGGAAGATAGTATTTTTCACCTGCAAAGTGCAACAGCAGAGAATTGCCCATATGTTTTTTATAGTAAAATGTCACAAAACACATAAAAATCCTAGAAAATGCTACGTTGTTTTTATAGCAAAACACGCAACTTTGATAATCTTCTTCACGTAAATTCCTTAGAAATCGCGGTCCATCGAGAGTAATTTTGTCGCGGTTTTTGGGGCACAGGCCCCTCTTCTAGACTATTACCATATTTTCAAATATTTTTCTGAAAAATATTAAGATATTTCACAAAATTGCATACCAAATATAAAAATAACTCAATCGAGTCTCAAGTGCTGCATTTCAAATC